ACCCCCTCTCTGCCGCCACCGCCGGCCCACCTCCACCCACCCCTACAAGACCCTCGCTCCCTATATGCTTCTCGCTTACTGAATCAGACAAAGTCGACCGGATCTTTGAACTCATTCAGTACCAGCCAATTCCAGACCAAGTCTGAAAAGACGTTTAAAAACGTCTTTGGGAGTGAATGAGTTTTAAAGAGCCACGGCTTTGTCGTGTCACCCCAAGGCCAAGGGCAATCCAATGTAGCAGCTGATGCCTTTCCGCCGCCCCCCCCCCCTCCTCTCTATAGTTACTGTCACATCTGGACACTTGACTGGTTTTAACAATAACCGGCTACCCCGCGCCGATCATAAATAACGTCACGTCACGGTGTACTTTGGCCGCTCCGGTGTAAATCTTCATGAGAACTTATGACTGGAACCTGTTCTTGCTTACGATTCTTGTTTTGGCAAACAACCTTCGCTCCAAACGGCAATCCAGATCCCCTCTTTCCACATCCTTATCCATCAGACGGATGCGATCAGACACATTATACGGACGTTAATTCGCCGTGGAAATGGCTTGGGACGCTCTGTGGCGCAGATGTGTTTCAGCCCCCCCCTTCTCCTTCCCCGCCCCTGTTTGGCTTGGTCCAAAGCATCGGCGGCCCTCTTCTCCTTCTCCTCCGCCTTCTTTCTGCTCCTCCAAGGCTTTGGCAGGGGTAGAGAGGTTGCGTGTGAGGGGTGGAGTAGAGGGAGGAGGAGAAGGGATGTAATTGTAGATTGGAACAGGACTACGTCTCAACATGAACACCCACCAAAACCATCTCCATCCTCTCTTTGCCTCGCAGTCCATGAGGAAGACCCCATGGTTGAGGCTGATCCACGTCAGGGGTACCCAGGCTTTTTGATGGGGTTGCGCGCTATCCGCTCAAATCTTGTTTGTCCGCCGGTTAAGACGGCCAACATCCGACCATCATATTCAGGCTTGGCGCGGGTTGTCGCCAAGCCATTAGGCCTTTCTTGCCCATCGCTGGCGTTAACTGCTGTCTTTGTCTGTGATATGCAAATAGGATCCTCCCGGGCAGCCCTTCTTCCTCTTTTTCGGGTGGAGGTTAGCACAGGGAGAAGGCAAAAGGCGCCTGCTTGCTTTGACTGTGAAATGAGCCTCCTTATGTAAAGAAAAAAAAAAAAAGCATCAGCTGTAGGGCCGGACGGCGTTTTATTAGCCGTGACAGCGTCAGGCCCGATACGGACAATGCTAATTGCAAGCAAATTTTAAGCTTGGCGCAGCGTCGTCTTGGGCGAGCCTCTCAACTATAGCCAACCTTCAATGAAACTGTTCTCTCAACCGATCGCTTTTCTACGTACCCGGTCGGGCTACGGCAAGTGATGAGGGACAAGCATACTTAGCATTTTGAATTACAACGAAAAGATTGCCTACCAACACGCACAACATGGACGGGGGTGCCGCTCACGTTTCGACACCCCGCTGACATATCTGAGGAGCCACACGGCGACGGGACGGACTGACAATGACGCGACGGAACCTGGCGTGGTTGATTGCGAATTTACCCGGCTGTTCATTTCGGATACAGAAGATTTGGATTTTGATGGATTTGATCGTGAGGATTGATCCAAAAAAATAACGTGACTACATTGTGAAATACTTCACTAAAGTACAACCAAACTCAGTTTTGCTCCCGCTGCCTTTTTTAAAAAAAAACAACAGCCACTAGCGAGCATGCTAGCGTATTAAGCTAGCGTACATTTTACTATGCCTGCCTCCATTAATGCTGTGTGTCTTGTTTTTGTGTTAAATACAGTTAGAACACCCGTAACTGATACTATGCCTTTTAATAGGGGGGGGGGTGTCAGTCTTTTAATGTTAGGGACTGGTAATAGGACTAAAGTAGTGTTTGGATTGGGCGGTTAGGGTTCAGGTTACGGTAGGGTTAGGATAGGGAATTGTGGGTAGGAGTTAAATGCTCCGTCTGAAAAATCTCGATCCTTAACGGACGCCGTTTTCAGATCCAGGAGGGCCTCTCACCCAATCACCTGAAAAAGGCCAAGCTCATGTTCTTCTACACCCGCTACCCGAGTTCCAACATGCTCAAGATGTTCTTCTCCGACGTCAAGGTGAGTCCGCTGCGCTCGATTGATCCTCTATTGCAATTTTTAAAATGGTCCGAAGACTATTTTTTTCTTCTCCTTTCAAAGACACCTGCTTTAAAAAAATGGGGAAGTTGCATTTGTGACGATGTGCGAGCTTCGGTTAAAATGAACAATGCGTGCCTTTCACAAATGAGGCCCTTCCCTACCCCTTAACTTGTGGTTTTATGCAAAAGAAGAACGATGAGGAAGTCGAATGTGTTTTCCACAGCATCGGGAGCTTCAGTCGTAGTCCATAGCTGGCTGCTAAAGGGAGCGATGGTGACGATCGGGGTTCACAGAAAAGTGGCGATCCAAGCAGGTGTAGGAAAAATGGGGGGGAGGTCTGTTTGGCATACACGGCAAGGAGGAGCCCAACTGGGAGTTTAATGAAGAAAACAAAGCTCAATTTTTAAGCTGGACTGCAAAAAAACAAGCACAACACAATAGCTGTGTGTGTGTGTGCGTGTGTGTGTGTGTCCCTCTCTGACCATACGGAGGGGTAAACACTGTGACAGATCCAGGCCATCTTATTCAAATCAGAAGATAAAGGTTCCCCTTTTCCCTCTCTCAGCTGCCTCCCTCTTGGATGCCGCTGCGAACCGGCCGGCGATTTTGCGGGGGTCATGTGACTTTCACTCAGCGCATCGGCGCTCGGTGCCGAAAAGGGGGCGCGCGTTTGGCGAAGCGCGTTTTGGCAGCCGCCAATGGCGCTTGGAAGGAAAAAAACAAAAAAACAAAAACAAAAACAAAAAAATTCCGCTCGACTTCGCGATTGAAAAGGACAGTGGGGGGGAAGCGGCGACATTTATTATTATGAAAGATTCAAAGCGGTTTTGTTTGAGTGACTTAAAGGCCGCAGAGGAGGAGGCGGGAGGGGGGAGGGGAGTGGTGCTAGGATCACAGGCGACCTCATCAGACAAGGAAACAAGGTCAAGATCGTTAAGAGGATTATGAGGCACGTTGGTTTGTTTTTGTTTTGCGTTCGAGACAATGGAGTCCGAGCCTCGAGTTTGTCGACATGTATGGGAATTAGACGGACTATCGAAGAAGATTCCGCCGGCGTGGGCTTCTTACACGTCGCTGTTCTCAGACAACACGGTCTTTCAAGCTAATAAGGCCTCCGCTAATCAGTCGAGGACCTAATGAACGTGGGAAGTGGGGCTGTCCGGACCACCGCAGGACG